CCAAACGGACCAATCTAGGCTGTTTTTTGGGCGATGACCCATGAAAGTCCTGAAGGAGAGCCCGGGCTAAAAACATTCAAACGGACCAATCTAGGCTGTTTTTTGAGCGATGACCCATGAAAGTCCTGAAGGAGAGCCCGGGCTAAAAACAACCAAACGGGTCGATTTAGGCTGTTTTTGGGTAGGGCCCTGGCCCCAGACAGCCCAACCAAAAAGCAGCCTATTTTGACGAAGTAAGTTGTTTTTTGGGCCCGCCGTCTGGGCGAGCTGGGGTTTTGTGGGCCCCCTCGGAGAGAAAAAAAAGGCGCCCACGCACGAGCGCCCCAACGGTCGGACACACGCCCTCCGAACCCAAACGCCCAAGTTCAAGCCCGGCCTGGCCGCTTCTGGTCTTTTCTTTCCAGCATAGTGTGTGTTTGTGCGTGTGTGGTGCGCGGGATCAACCAGACAAGTCACTCCACCAACTAACAACGGCCATGCACCACCACCCATAGAATGAGCTATCAAACTGTCAATCCTATTACTATGTCTGTGATTCCGACGAAACGAAACGAAACGAACCGAACCGGACCCCGAACCGAATCGGTTCGAATCGAAACCAATTCCTAGGAAACCAATTCTTTAAATAAGGAACCGAACCGACTAACTGACGATCGAATCGAACCCACCCTGGTCCTTGTCCAACGCCGTTGCGTCAATAAAATCGCAGAGTTCCGCGTTCACACCGGCCTTTGGCAAGTGAACATTGTATCCCTGGACATTCTTGAAAAGAGATCTGAAAAAACAAGAAAAACATCGAAAAATAACCTTGCAAGAAAAGAAAGAGGCTTCAAAACAGAGGATGTTGGCCTCTGCCAACAGCTCATCCAAGCTCTCCTGAAGCTTTTCATCGATGTCCTCGAATTCAGGACCTTGCAATCCAAAAGGAGCTCTAGGCCACAGCATTTCTGACAGACATGAAGACAAGCAGCCATTGTAAGAGCTCACACTCTCCTTTTCCTGGCAACACTCAGCTTGTTATGCTCTGTTTGATGTGTGAAAGAGAGTGTGCCAATTAGCTCGAAACACGCAACTACTCAACTTGGCTTCAAAAACAAAGCAACACGGGAGCATCTGAGGAAATGTCCGCAACTGTTGCGCAAATACTCTCGGCAAGAAAGGGGGTTATATAGTGCTATCTTCTAAGAATAAAACAAACAAAAGGCTAAAGGGTCTTGCCTCCTTGCTGGCAAAGGATTTCACATTGCCAATGACCTGGCGATGTCAAAAGAAGCCATCGGCCCCGCAATGCAGCGTTGAGTATGGGAGATCAAGGATCATCAAGGCACATTGACACTGCTTTTGTGAAGCGTTCCTTGTTCCAAAGAATGAGGGCTCGGAATTGAATAGTATCGTTCGGGACAGCAATCACGAACAAGAAGAACACTTTCAATACGAGTCTTGAGTAGACTTCATCTTCAAGCCGTAGACAATTTCCAAACATGGGACTCTCATGAGACCGTGTAGATCTTGCCGAAGTGTCTTTACAAAACAGCGAACTGTGCATCTCCTGAGCAACACGCGTAGCGGTGGTCCTCACCGGTCTGTGTGCTGCAGTAGAAGGACACGCCAGCACCACCTGGATACGGCGCTGCACAATGGTCCAAACCCTTTGCCTGGAAACCGTTTCAGAGCAGAAGCAATGAATGCTGTATTTTTATTATATATAGAGATAGCATCATTAAATGCCAATTGAACGTATTTGCCCCCAATTCAGATGGGTCACTCTTGTTCTCCAAGGTGATGCAGAAGTCTGTGGCTTCCTCAGCAAAAGCATTGGGCATGGCGGGCATGGTTGATGTTGATCCTCACTGGAGCTCTCTGTCTCGGGCATATTCTTGGCCGCCCTCTTCACCCTCCACGTCAGCTGTTGGGTCGAAAGGGCTCGTAAGTTGCCATTCGACTTTGACCTTCAGGCTGCAGTGCACCACAAGTGGTGGAATGAAGCTGTTCGCTTGCCACAAGGAAAATCTATACTGCCCCTGAGATTCCAACCAACTTGCCATCAATCTCGCGTTCTAAGTGCATGTTCACATCTCCCTGCACACCATGTGTCTTTGGTCAAAGACCAGCATTGAAGAGACAAGACTTGTGATGAGACTCCGACACATGGAATGACAAATCCTCAATTACAATTTATTCAACCGTCTTGCACAAGCTGCATTCTTGACCTCAGCCTCCACCAATTTGAAGTCTGTCGAATCAATGAATTTCTTGATTTCCTCGGCCGAGTCTTCGAGGTCTTCTGTGTCTATGCTTTGAAGCATGCAATCTGGTTAAGCCTTGGCTTGCTGGTACTGCTCCTGGCAAAAAAGCCATAGGTCCCCGTCAATTCATTTCCAAGCGAGCTGTTTATATAATGACTCTTTGGCAATGTCTTGCTTGCTGCATCCATTTTTCTATGAAGCAATCTGAGAATTCCAAATACGTCTCGTGCTTACATACACAGTGAATGCACTCCTTCTCGTGGCTAATCTCTGCGGCTAGATCTTTGGCCTCGACACGCTTGATGCATCAGTGTCACGAGATTGGAAGGGCGGCTTTGGTATCACTGCAGGTATGGCTTAGGTCGCTACCACTTTGGCTGCGGAAGTCAATGAGAAACACCTGCTCTGGTCCATCTAGAGATTGGTTAAGTGCTGGTAATCCGCAGCCTCTGCTGAACTGGACAGAGAAGAGGTCGTAGAGCCTGTTGTCTCAAGCCTCGTGCTGGGCGACTAGGCCGCTACAAAGCCTTCAAACCACTGCAACGTCCCACCTGCTGTCTTGGGCGCCAAGTTCCCGCAGGCTCGCAAAACTCTGGGCAGCATCCTTACAACCGGATACAACCGGACCAGTGAGAAGATAATACCCTTGACCCTTCATGGAACTCTACCCGCCAAAGCACACATACAAAAAGAGAAAACAATGATATTCACGACTCGCATGAGCTCCCAGTGGGACTCTACGTGACCATATCCACAGCAATCCAAGGGACGTGCACAAATAGTGGTGTTCGTCTGTACTACCCTTGAGCAAAATTGCTTTGGAGGAGTGTTCCTCGAAAATGCCGCTCTGTCAAAGATCTTGCAAAGACACTTGCAGGTGTGCTTCCATTTTCGAGACGAGATGGGCATCTTCTGGCAAGCGCGCCAGCTGTAGAGGTTTCATGTCAGCCTGAAGCTGAAGACTTGAAAGCCGTAGCAGGCGTTCGAAAATGTCTGCACAGCTTGCGGACCAGTGTGTCTTTGCGTAGTTGTTCAGTTTTGATCTAGAATGGAACGTGTGGCTAGCAAGGATTGCTCCCACCTCTCAGGAGGATCACTCCATGAAAGACTTCCTCACAGTTGAGGTCAAGTACCCAACACAATGATTCCAAGCTATTTGTTTAGTAGGTTGGAGGCCATCGCGCTATGCTTCATGTTTTTCGAAAGGTAAAATAAATGTGTTGTCTGTCATCTCCAATGCCAAGTCTCACATTTTGGAGCCATCCTTACCCAGTTGGTCTGTCAACGGCAAACTTTGCACAAGTACAAGTAAAACAACCCCCTTCTGAAGGCAATCATGGCAAACATAGTCATGTCTACCGTCTGAATCTGAATTGGTTTCCTTTGTTTCCTAATTTCATCTAATTTCCAAGTCAAAAGAGAAAAGGAGCATGAAGGCAAGGCTCGGATGTACTCGCGCTGCTCCTGTCACATCTTCAAGCAAAGAATCCTCTTGCTATGTTGCTAGCAACACACTGTCGAGATTCTGCCGGTCTTTCGGCAAACCCAGAATCACCCAGAATCAAGACCAATACATGTTGACCATTCTCTTGCACAATGCATCGGAAGCCTGCAAATTCAGCTAAGACGCCAAGTTTGAGAATGGTAGCGGATCTTGTGATGTTTTTTGGACTCTTGGACATGTGGGAGTAGCAAACGACCCGTTCATTGAGCACACACAATTTAAACAAACACAACGCATGTTCATCGAGTCCTTCAGGAATGTTCCGAATCGAATCAGGAATCGGAAACGTTGTCTTTGAGGAACCGAACCGCCGCCGAAACGAATCGCTCGAATCGAACCGTGAATCGAAGTGGGATCGAAGGAATCGAAAACGAAGGAACCGAATCGCTGTCGAACCGTGTGCACGCGTGCGCCCTCCAAAGCCGATGGCTCCCCGCACCGCAGGAGACTGACCACCTGCGAGCAGGAAGATCGGCAACCGCGAACTTCTGCGAGTGTGGTCCATGACCCTTGCCACAAAACATCCGCGAATGGTTTGCCTGCTATTGGGCAGCTGTGTGTGCCCTGCAGAATGGCCAGAGTAAAAATCAACCAAATGGACCAATCTAGGCTGTTTTTTGGCGATGACCAATGAAAGTCCTGAAGGAGAGCCCGGGCTAAAAACAACCAAACGGACCAATCTAGGCTGTTTTTTGGGCGATGACCCATGAAAGTCCTGAAGGAGAGCCCGGGCTAAAAACA